GCCGCTTTGGATTACTCGCTTACTGCTTACTCGTAGCAACGGATGCCATATCCCCTTAGGAGTGACGCCGTATACGGTATCAATATTTCAAGCTGCAGGCTGTGCAGTCTACTCATAGCCTTGTCGGTTGCGGCACGAAAATTCGATTTCTCACAGTTGCACTTACCCGATTTTCACGAAGCCAAAACAAAATTTTCTGTTTTCTGAAAAGATATAGTTAAAACTTCTCCAGCTCATATTGCTTTTCTTTTACAGTAAAACACGCGCAATTAAACCGTTTCGATCTGCAGCGTTTAATAGTGTAGGAAATTCTTTGGATGGTCGGAGTTAGTCCACGTTAGACCACTTTTCCCTTCAATAAACTGATCTGACTTCTTTTCTAGTAAACAGCATTTGGGCGGCCTCAAGTCAATGCAATGAAGAAAATAAACAAACTCAAATGTGTGTTAAACCAAGCCCTCAAATGTCGGTCTTCACACTTCATGAGTTAGGCGATCTACTATAAGCAGCCGCCAAACATGCAGTGGTAGTACCACTGGTTGTGGCTGATCATCGACTTGCTAACTTCGTTACCTATGAATGGGGCAAAGGCCGCAGTACTCTTGGAACAGGGTGCATTTTGCCGGCTTGGTCCCTCGTCCAGTACGTAGGCGCTGAGCCAATTCGTGGAGCCTAAGTATCAGTTAGGCGGAGACTAGCAGAATAGGCGATAAAGAAAATTGTATGCGATTACTGGTAATCACTCAAACCCACGTCATTTGTCACACTGCTTAATCACTAAAATAAATTTCATGCTTCTCCCTACCGGCTAGTTGAATGAAGGAATGTAACTCGTTAACATATCCGAGTCCACACCCAGCTACTCACTCTCATCTTACACCAGTACCTGCAACAAGTGTCCTATCATTCTGAAGTAAAAACCCTTATGTAAGGTATTTAGAAGCTCAGTTATGTAGCCACGGCGTCACTTTCTCAAACGGTTACAGTTCACGGGTTCACTGTCTGTGCATCGATAGAATAGACTGCCGTGGAATAACTTACCTTAATCTAGAGTCCAGTGTTCGCGTGCAAGCGATAATTTTGTAAGGTAAGGACTTTTCAGAGACTCATTGGACATTTTTACTTCCTCTAAATTCACTGTTAAACCGATGTCGGCAGCCGTCAATACACAATCTCTGTTAAAGGGACTATTATAATGTAATAAGCGCTTGTTACCTACCGGAATTTGCCCGATAGCCGCTCATAAACAGACTCCAAGGCCTTTATTACCTATCCTTCTCTCTTAATTTTTGCGGGATCACATAACATTTAGATGTTAACCTTCAAAATAAAGAGTATTTCTCTCTCTCATAATCCCCGCCTCACCGTTTTTTAAGCCGCTTGGTTTGGGCTAAACCGGGCAATATTTTGGGTAACTTTTGCGTTATTATTTTTGTTGGGAACTCAGCCTTCACAATTACTCCAAAGATTTTGTTGACCTCGCTGCCTTTGCAAGATTCTCCTGTGTATCTAATTTTTCTGTGAAAAAGGATGGTTCAAGTCGAAAAGTGGCTTAAAGGACAAATAGACCATTTTGCTGCTTCATTCGGATATTTTGACTGCTTCTGTCTGACCATTTTTACTGAAATCTTGCTTACATGTCATATTTTGCTGGCAAAATGCATTGACCGCATTTAACCGAATGGTTTTTGGGCAATCATACTGCAAAATCACACCCTTCAAAATCACCCCTTTGCCTTAACGTTTAGTCCTTTAGAAGACAGGAAAGGATTGTAATGGCAGCCTGTCGTGTCCTCATCTGCGTTATGGCAAGTACAGTAGCCGCCGAAGACCATGCAACGCTAATTATGAAATTTGG